TTCAAATTGATTGATGAAACTTTAGAAAAAAGAAAATATACATATATCTATAAATTAGGTTAAAGTATGGTATCAAAATCGTCGTACAAAACATAAACGTTTGAAATCTGAAGATGGAAATAATAGTTCAAATGATATTAATGATGATGAAGAAGAACAACACGAAGAATCTATTGAACATGATCATGATCATAATCAACAAAATCAATCGGATACATCAGATATAATGATTAAAAATGATGATGAACATTCATGGGATAATAATAATCCACATTATCAATTTATTTCTCAATCATCAACTCCACGTTCATCAGTTTCTGATCGTTATTATTTACATCTTGCTGCAGCAGCTGCTGCTGCCGCGAAAAATGGTTCATCAGATGATCATCGATAATGAAGATTTTCCTTCTTTTTTTTCTGTTTTAAAAAATATTGATAGAGATATAACCGAAATGAAATATAAAAACCCGGTCTAATCTCTATCTATTATACATTCCATTTGTTTCATTTTTCTTTTCTGTATGTTCATGTTTTTTTTCTTTTTCTGTTTTTTTTGTTTGATGTAAAAATGGAGTTTTTTTCTTCTTTTCTTTTTTGTTTCAAGAAAAATTCGAATAATTATACATGAGAAATGATCGATATTGTTTATTTGATGATTATCGATATATGATCGTTTGATGAGATTTAATTTTTATTGTATTCAAAGATAATATCACTACATTGAATAATTGATTAGTAAAAATATGATTGAGTTTTCATATATATGATTAATAGTAATGTCATATTATAACAAAGTATCACCTTTGCTTAAATGTTATTCGTGTATGTATGTGTGTTATAGTCAAATTGAGAATTTGATTGGATTGTTTCAATGAACTATAAAAGTAACAAGTAGTATTAAATACATTGGTGACTTTTTTTCTTATTGTTGACCTCACTACTGTTCCATCTAGTTTTAAAGTTCATTTTAATAATATACAAATCTTTATCAACTTTAATTGAAAGTTTCTATTTTAATTCTCACAATAGGAATTATTTGTCAATGATATTTAAAGTAAATAGAGAAGAAAAAGAAAAGAACCTAGAAGAATTAAAATCCAAAAGAAAACAGAGAATATTAAGGTTAATATATAATGAAATATAATACATTGATTATTTTACCTTTATATCTTAATACAAAAAAGAAAGATTCTATTACATCAATTTAGACAAAGAGAATAAACCGATAGTTTTATGATTGAATTTTGAGATGCTCATCACAAATCTTTCTATTATTAAATCGACATTACAATAAACGTACGCCACTATCATCAGAATATTCACTAAACTTTAGTCCGAATTTGTCGATATGTATACTGAAGAAAAAAGGTGCGTTACGAAAGCCTTCAGAAAGATTTCTTGTCAATTAAAAAATGATTTGAGCGTATTTTGGATGTTTATGAAACCTTTTTAAGGTTTTTAATGTCGTTGCAAAAATAATTCAGTGTAGAGTAGTAGTCAATGTTAAATTAATCAGTTTCACATTAGAAAAATGAATTAAATCATCGGCCTATGAATAAGATTTTAACAATAAAAATAAATTCTGTTCTTTTTAATGATTTCCATAACCCGAAATTTATTTATTTGTCATAGCTGTTCATTATTGCAATTATCATTTTTTGTATGTAGTTAAAATTTAGATAGATCATCTTTTTAGTTAAGGAAGACGTAGTAATCATTTATTTAGATTTAATAGAATATTTTCATTCATTTTTTTATTATATTTAATATATATCAACAATTCAAACTTTTCTTATCGTTAAGTACGTTTAATTTTATATTAAATAATTTTTTTCTCATTGTTAGAAAGACTATATATACGATCGTCATTCTTTTCAATTGTATTAAAAAGCTTGTCAGCGCAGCTCCGTTGGGGCTAAAAATGTGAAACTCACGTATGTTCGCATCAAAATATCTAATCACGTTTTTCTCAAATTTAATTAATTTATAGCTATTTTTGACAATTTTTGGTTGTTTTTATTAAAATTCTACTAATTTATAGCTGTATTTGACCATTTTTCTTATTTTTTATAGAAAGTTCCGCACTTTATAGCTATTTTTAATGATTTTTGCTTATTTTTATTGAATTTGTAGAGGGGGAGGGAGAGAGGTGGGGAGCTGGAAAACTTGAACTTAAAACTTATACTCACGATTTTCTTCGGAAATTTACGTGAGTTCCACAAAATGTGAAAACTAGTCGAAATTATAAAAATGACTAATAAATTCAGAATATTCAACTTCTGTACTTTGCAAACCTATCCATCGATATTTATAAGTATGAAAGCAGTAGCAGAATATGGGAGAAACATTTATCTTTACAACGATTGACATTTTTCAGTCTGCTTGAAATCCACTTGTGATCAAAATTAAATGCCGAATATTGAGGTTTCTAGACAGAGTTTCATCTATTAATATTCATCGATATGATCATATATACAATATCTTGGGATACTTTATTGGTATATTAATACATGCATCATTTATAATTTATAAATATTTATGAAAGTTTATTTGTCCTGAATTCTATTAAATGCACAAGCTCTCTAGAAAAAAAAACAATAATTCACTTTTTCTTAATAACAGAAAAAGAATTCCATTCTATTTCTACAAATTTCAATACATAAATTCATTTATCTATTACAAAAATCAAAACTTTTTATATATCTTCTACATTTGAATGTGTTATTTTATCTGCTAAATGTTCAACTAATATATGTTGTCCAACAGCAGCATCTTGTGGTAAATCTGCTGAATATTTTGCTGCTTCTTGTTTTAATAAATGTGAATTAATAATATCATCTAATTGACTTGTATGTCGAAGTGAGTTTCGATTTGTACACATAATATATATCGAAAAACAACATAAGATAGCAACAAGAATAGTAATAAGAATAAAAATAATATAGAATTTATTTCGTGCTGTTTCTGATAATATAAGACTACCATGTTGTATTTCATCATAATGATATTCTATATGAATAAAACTTGATGAATTTGGATAATAAAAACAAATAGTTTCATTATTTAATAACGAAAATCGACAAGTAAGTGCAGATGAAAATACAAGATAATATGTAGAATTTTCATTAATATTTAATGGAGATATAAATGAATTATTATTAAGTTTAATGAATATTTTTGGTGGAGAAATTATTGAAGGATTTGATTTAATTATGATTTGATTATAATCGTCAAAAGCTATTTCAAAAAAATTAACAAATTGTTTAAAATTCAAATATAAATATCTTACATATATTCATATGAAACAACTGAATTTTGTCATTGCCAATAGATATATATGGACATATTTGTACTTGAACTGGATCAAATGATTGATAAATATCAATAGATAAACCACATGCTATAACTGTTTGAGTATTAACGATAGCTGTTGAAATATTTAGAAAATAACATTGAATATTCGATATGAAAAACAAGTTTAAAAATATGTATAAAAACATTTTTATTAGTTTTTTTTGTTCGTTTTTAAACTATAGTTTTTTATTTGAATATGTTATACATGCCAGACATATATGTGCATTGACCTTCGGACGAAAAGAATGAAAAGTAAAGTGTTTATTCTTTTTATGTATGAATACAAGGTATAGTCAAGAATAGACGACGAGACGGAGAGAAAAAAATGAACGATGATTTGCTCTTTATTATAATATTTTTTTTGTACATTGTTTTATAACTGAAGAAAGCTCGAATCATTTGAATAGATATAAACTGTTTTCGTATTTATATTATGTAATTCATGGAAAGTTTGAAGAAATATATTATTTTGATCGTCAAAAAATATATTCGCTAACTAATTAGAGAAGAGGAATATTAAAACTCTTCAGTTAGATATCATAATTATACAGATCTTTAATCAATATCTGGCGTCATCTATTGAGAATGAAGATTTGAATTTTAGCTTTAAAAATCTCTATATTTGAAATATAAGATTCACATATATTGATGAATATAAGTTTGTATTACCCTATTTTTTCAATACAGATAAGTTACTAAGCAACAAAACTAACGATAGTCTATTGTGAACAATCTACAATTATCACTCTTTTTTTTTAGTAATATCAATAACAAGTAATAATTTAACGCAAGATATTCAATACACAACAGAATAGAATGAAACCAAAAAAACTAAATACCTTTGATAAAGCTTTATTCAAGGGTAAAAACATTACAAACAAAATTAATCTAAGACTTTCTATTTCTAAGTATTCTTAAAATGAAAATTTTGATTTACGAGCAATATATAACATATTTACAGCATATTCACAAATAACTTTCATATAGTTAATACATCAAAAATATGTCGAGAGAATATAGTAATTGTACAGCAGATGAATATTAAAATTAATCATATAGAATAAATAAACTAGTTGATAGTTATTTTTCATTATATATCAATAACATGTTATGACAAAAATATATTTGATCATATGCAATTTATTGATAGATAGTGTTTCCTACAAAATAGAATCAAAATGATTTATATACATGGAGCAACTACTTAATAACAATAATAAAAAAAAAGATAACTCGATCACACCAGGATTCGAACCTGGAATCTCC